AAGAAAAAAGAAATGAGGTCTTAGTATGTTGCCCAGGAGGGTCTTGAACTCCTGACCTCAAGAGATTCTCCCACCTTGGCTCCCAAAGTGCTGGGATTACAGGCATGAGCCACTGTACCCAACTCATTGAAATGTTTTAAGTTTGTGCCCCTCTAAAAAACATTCATACTATCTTCTAATGAAAGCTACCTCACCAAAGTAAAACCAAACCCAAAGGAAGAAGTGTGCTTATAAATCATGATAATCATTTTTCCCATCACACATACACATTATGCAAGCATTTTTGTTGAAATTCAGATAGAAAATTTTCATGTTCTCTGATTTTAATCAGTGGTAATAGCGTACTAATCAGAAAGAGCTGATTTATAGTTTTTTAATAAATTAGTCCAAAACCCATTGCAATTCATCATCAGAAGAATTTTTAAACAAACTAGAAAATTATGCTTCTGATTTTTTAAGCATGCCCTGCAAGAAGGCCACCACAGGCATCTGGGCAAAAGGATTTAAAGGCTCCCCAGTCAAGAGGCAGGTGAGGTAGGAAGGAGGGGTCTGAGGACACAGTTGGCAGGATGTGGTAATGGCATATGGATTGATAAGTCCCTGGGTCAGTTAGGTTCTTTAGGTTGCAACACACACACACACACACACACACATAAACACACAAAAACACATGCACAAATTCAAAATACTTCAGTGAATGGGAGTTTATTTATTTATTTATTTGCCAGATGGCAGTTTTTATGGTTTTATTTAAACACTAATAGAAGGTGCCTGTGAGCTGTCTATTCATTTTCTTCGCTGCACAGCCTGGAATTGGGATTGGTGACTCTGACGGTCAGCTGGGCTGCTCTTTCCACACTGGCTTTGAGGTTCTTGGAGGAAAGGTTGTGAGCAATCTCTGCACAGTAAGATCTGTTGCACATCCGCAGCACTTCCAGCTCCTTGATGCTGTGGACAAGGAACTTCCGGAAACCACTGGGCAATGTATGCTTTGTTTCCTTGTTGCTCCTGTAACCAATGTTGGGCATCAAGATCTGGCCCTTGAATCTTCTCCCTGACAACTCTGTTGTCAATACCTCTGGGTTTCCACCATTATGCTTAATTTTGACATATCGGTCTGACTGGTGCC